GCAGCGTTTAAGTAGATCACGACTCTCTAATATTTGAGCACCCACAGTGCTCGTACGAAATACCTGATCACCTAATGAAGCGGAACAAAAGCGCGTTCGCGCATTGACTCTGAGGGTAGTCTGGAGCAAAATTATTACTCTAGACACCACAATAATGTTTTTTGACCCAAGAAGCTGTGATTGTATACGTAAGCATTTGGAAAAGTTGCTTCGAAATTTGCTTATCATTTATCGTCGGCAAAAGCTGAAGTCTTTAGTGTAGAGGTCCTTTCAGATCGATGAAATTGGACTTGTATAAGATCTTTTCAAATTCATATTAAACGCGCTTGTTGAATGCTGTGGCAGAGATTCTTTCTTATTCATAGTCAGTAGGTTCGTCTCTGTAACTGTAAATCAGCCCATGGATTTATAAGGTGAATTTAAGCTTGGAAATTAGGTGATAAGCGTAAAGTTAACTGTCTTAAATATTTTTTATGCTTCTGACACTGAAAATTGCATAAAACGGTTTATTCATCCACGACGCAAACAGGTTCGTCGGCCAGTATCGTCGTTTGGGCAGGTGACACATGAACTTTCTTCAAGATTAACAGGACTTATTTCTGGTGTTCCTTCTGTGGTCCGCGGTTCACATGAATTTGATCGCGCACATTTACCCGCCGCACGGCTGATCGCCTGTACAGCTGCAGTGCATGTCACGTGTTATGTGCACGATAGTTGATCAAAAACAATTGTTGTAGTAGCTGCAGTAATTCATATGGTTAGTTCGTCAAGAAATGACTCTGCAGCTGATTCCGAGTACGAAGAGGAAGCCTAAGCTACTGCATCTAGGTCACTTTTTATAAAAGTCAAGGAGAGGAAAGAAAAAACAATGTGGAAATGCAAATTAATCCGGAAGAACAAATGTCGTGTCAGATTGTACACGTAGGATGAACGCGTGAATCAAGAAGTTGAACCCTGCTGCTGAAGTAGGGAGAGTTATCGAAGGTCTAAGAGAACCCATTTAATGCCTTCTAAGGATTCTGCCCAATGAGATTGAGGCCTTAGTTTCTGTAGTGCTGTCACAAGCAGTAGTCGGAAAATTTCTGCGCATCTTTAGCATGAAGCAGACGGTCAGACACCAGGGAGTCGAGTCGCTCGTCTGACTCCCAGGTCCAACTAGCCTAAGCGATTTCGTACTGCCGGAACGGTCCAGACAGACGTTCGCCTGCGAAGATTTCCTGATACACGACAGCAGATCCGGTACCTATCGTCTGGTAATTTTTTTACTAGGAATAATTTGCGATACTTGTCACAGTCGTTCAACTGTTATAACGATGGACCATTTAAAACAATTCCTCAGTTGTTTCAGCAATTGCACACGATCAACGGGATACATTGCTCCAACGTTATACCACCAGTATTTGCCTTGCTGCTGGACAAAACAGGGCCTTTTACTTGCAAATGTTTCACGCCTTGAAACGTCTGGAACCAGGTTTGGCACCTCAGTCGGTTCTGACTGATATCGAGCGTGCTTCTATTAGCGCTTTTCAAATGAGCTTTACAAATGTCTTGCACAGCTGGTGTTTTCTTTTACTTTGGCCAATGCAACTACCAAAGCATTTAGGCGAACGGTCTCTGCCAAAGTTACTCAACGGCTGCTACATTCACCTTAAAAATCCGAATGCTCACTGCATTAACCTTCGTACCAGTGCAGCACGTACAGCAAGAATTTGAAGTCGTTTCAAAAATGAACGATTGCCGGTCAAAGTGCAAGTGTCTGTAGACTACTTCGAAGACTGGATTGGATCCAGTTAGATTCAATGGAGAGTGGATTGGTCGTCCATATCGACGTAAGGCGCGAAGAGAACCACTCTTCGCTCTAACGGTTCCGAA